CTGCTGAGGGCCTCCTCGGGTGTAGGGAGGGGGCTGAGTGTGGAGGACACGTGGGGGGGCGCAGTGGGCCTCCTCCGGGTGTGGGGAGGGGGCTGAGCGGGGAGGACACGCGGGTGGGCGCAGAGGGCCTCCTCCGGGTGTGGGGAGGGGGCTGAGTGTGGAGGACAGTGCGCTAGAGCCCAGCTCAGCCTGGTGTTCTTGGCACTGGCGCCCAGTACTGGCCGACCTCTCCAACTTCCTGCCCACTGCGGAGGACAGGCCACGGTGTGCCCATGACACAGCCGTAAGGTGGCAGCGACTCACCACGGGGAGCTGGCTTTGCGTTGTGACGTTTGTGGTTCTTTCAGTTGTGAGGCAGAGTGTGAGAGGGTTGTTAGATAACAGTTCAGAATAGTCGCCCTTTTTGATATCAAGTTGGAGTATTTCATACTCTGTAATGCCGTTTTTTGTTTTGAACGGTTTGTTTATTTTGCCAGAAGGCACAGGTACTTGCTGGAGGAATGAGAGGGCAGTGAGAAAGCACCTCTCGGGTACAGCCGCGCTGCACAGCCCCACCTCCCTCTTCCCTTTCGAGAGTTTGGGCGTGCGAGCACACGTGCCTAGCATGTTTTTCTTCCTTGGCCACATACAATAAAAACGGTCATTTCCCCCAGACTATCTTCTTGTTAAATGTGTGCATTTTTAAATGTTATGAATGTTGTATTCTTGGACCAGCTGGTGTCCTGGTGGTTAAGGAGGCTGATCCCACATGGCTGGCTGAGCAGTTGGAGTCCCAGACCTGGCAGCTCAGGAAACATGTTGGGTCCCTGTGCACGCATGTACATGCCCAGAATTCTGAAAGAAGGGAAAATTGAGAAGAGGCTGCAGCAGGACCACGCCCACGGGAGGTGCTTTCTCTTGCTCTCTTTCTGACTCACATTCTGTCGCTCTGGCAATGTATGCACCCTCTGGCAAATTAAAAAAAAGAAGACTGGGCAGTAGGTAGCATAATGGTTAAGGTGCTGGACTCCCACACGTCTGACCACAGTTCAAGTCCTGCATGTGGCAGCTTGAAACTCACACTGGTGCATGTGCGTGCGTGTCCAAAATCCCAAGCGGAGAATGGAGAAGGAATTACAGCGTGGCCACCCGTCCCAGTGGGGTGATGTCTCACTTTCCCTCCCTCTGTCTCTGTCTCTCCAGCAAGTGCACGCACCTATGGCAAAATACTTAAAGAATTATATTCTGAGTAATACAAAGTAATACATCAATAACCACTTTCTGAAAGAGTTGTTGAAATGCTCATTTGGAGACAACTTTATGAAGCCAGCACCTGCAGCGTTGTGTCTGCCTTGGGGAAGCCAGCCTGGCCCTAGGGCAGGGTGACATGGGCTGAGTGCTGGGTACACACGGTGGCACAGTCTACTGTGCTGGGCAAGGAGCCCAGACACCCCTGGAGCGGCTGGTAAGTTTGGATTCTGCTCTTACAATTCTTAGACCTAGAAAAGCACCTGCATTTCTTGTTCTGGGCTTTGAGGGCATGAGTGTTCTGTGACACACTTGTAGCGACTGGCCACGTTTCAGTGCTAGGCGTGTGACATTCGAAGCAGGGACCCCGGTGTCGGCATCCCCGTGTGGATAGCTGTGTGTCATCAGTGGCCCTGCCCTCCCGCCTACTCACAGCAGCTCCGATCCTTCCATGCCTCACCAGAGAAAAGGCCCCAGGGGAGGGGCATGTGTGCTCTTGGTAGCTGGACCCAGGGAGGAGACAGGTGCCACCTTGGCATTCGGCTCACGGGAAGTCAGGTGAGCCAGGGAGGGGACGCACCAGAGCAGGACCACGCTGATGGCCAGTGCCCACACAGCCCGGCCCCAGGGGTCACGGGTGGGACTGCTGACATGTCGCCGGGGCAGTGTGACCTGGAGGACAGGCCGCAGAGCAGCAGAAGCAGCTGTGCTGCTGCGTCACGAGCCCAGATGTGCCCTTTCTTGGTCACAGGTGCACACAGTTCTGTGTAGAGGCTTCAGCCTGTGCTGGTTCGAAAGCAGGTGAAAAGGTCCGTGGGCTGCTGGTCATTAATGTCCTTCCGTCTTCAGTCTGAACATCCGATGTGGCAGCTAGCACGGTTCCAGCTACTCGGTAGAGAACCTCCTAGTGAGCCTGCTGGCTAAAAAGCATAGCTGTGAGGGCTGGGCCTGGGACCTAGTGCGTACGGGATCCAGGCCCCACGTGCTGGTCAGACCCTGGCCCTGGCGGCATGAGAAGCATGCTGGGCATGTGTGCCCAACTCCTGATGGGACGGAGGAAGGGGGATCGCCGTGTCACGGTGCCTCCGTGGAATGTGCTTTCTCATTCTCTGCGTGCACGCGCCTTCGGGCAATTGAAGACAAAGTAAATGGGAGTGGTAAAAGTCAAAGCTGTTTGGGGCCGGAGGTGGCATAGTGGTTCGGGGCTGGACCCAGTGACCTGAAAATGATGCTTAGTGCACGTGCCCCCAAAATCCCAAGGGGAGAATGGAGGAGAGGGGACAGTGGTGTGGCCATCCCCCGGGAGTGGTTCTCACTTTCGCTTGTCTGTCTTTGTCTCTCTCTGGTGAACACACGTACCCTGTGGCAAAAATCAGTCAACCCGTTTTGCCATGAAGAGCTGGGTTGGTTTTTGGTCCTTGGGGGGACTTCTGACGTGTCTAGTTTTTCTCAGCCTCTGAGATAACTGGAAAGATAAAAATACTGAGTGCCTTTGAGAAAACAATGCTGGCGTGTGCAGAGGTCCTTGGGTCCTGGAGAGAACGAGGCTCTGTCTACCGTGTACTGTTGGGCTGTCCAGAGGGGGACGTCTGTCACAGCTGAGCAGGTTTAAATAGTGAGGCACAGTATAGCCTGCAGGAAGTTCTTCAAGAGGCCGGTTAAGATGTAGCTGCCCAGGGGCCACTCAGAATGATGACATTGTTTTAAAGTGCTACTTGGACGCTGGTGTAAGGTGCGTGCTGTGTTATGGCTTGTTCCCTTGGTTTCCAGCCCGGCGAGGGAAGCACACTTGGGGTAGCGCGACGCTTCTGTCTGATTTACACGTATGACGAGTGTGGCAGGCGTGTTTCTCCTGATCGTGAGCAGAGAAATGCCTGATCAGCTCCAAGGCGGGGGAGGGAATAAAAGCGTTTATGAAGTAATAGCGGATGTTTCCACTTGAAACTTTCTGGGAGACGAAGTCGTTGTCCAGGGCGTCTGGTAGGTTTAGAAGTGAACAGCGTATCGCGTGCACTGGTGCCCATGTAACTTTCTAACGTGATTTGACTACAGAAATGAAACCACCGGGGACACACTGGCCGCGTTCACACCGTCAGCTTTGAAAGCGGGTTGGTCACGGGATGCGCAGTCTCTTCTTCACTTTACTAATGGGCACCCATCGCCTTTCTGAATGGTCTCCTGCTCCTTTCAG